AGTCATCGGGTCAGACTCAAAGTGGGCTGAAAATAAAGTCGAGTGTTGGTGTGCCCCGTTATTTCAGGTTATTCTGGTCATAAAACCTTGAAATAAAATTGTCCAAATACAAAGACAAAACTGATCTAATCAAGTGCTCATATCATTAAAAATACACCAGGAGCAAAGCTCCTGCTTAAAATGCAGTGCCACGTTGACAGGCATATGGAGATATTTGATATAGTGTAATGTTTAGATCCTGAACATGAATCTTTCAAGGGCATTGAGATTGAGCCACTTTTCAGCATGCGGAACGCACGTACGACTGCTTTCTCTTTCACCGCATTCAGAAACAAATGAGATGTTGCCGTTAAATGTGTCCCTGTAAGTGCGCACCTTTTCAAAGCAGCCCCAGGTGCAGAATGCCTGCAGAAGAGAGGCCAATCGAGAAACGGTAGCTCTGCAGCTCCCTGACTGCGATCCGCCCCCCGCGTTACTCTGCTTGGCCTTGTAAATACAGAAATTAGCAGCTGCCAGAGCTGCCACACTCTAAGTGCTATGTGAAAACTGAAGGTTGTCAGGAAATCAATGTGGCCCGCGCTCCTCCGAGGAGATGACGGGGTCCGGAGTGGATCAGCGGATTAATGAGCCGCCGCCGTATGCAGGGCCTCCAGCCTTCGGGAAGCGGCGCGCGCTGCCTGTAGGCCGCCCCGGGGATGGCGGGCTGGCGAGCCGGGCGAGTGCGCGGGCAGATGCTGAAGCCTGTATGAGCGCACCGCCGGGGAAGGGCAAAGCCCGCCAGCCCCCTGCGGGGCCGGCCGCTGAAACGGCCATGTGCAGAGCCAGGACAAAGCAAGGCCTGGCTGATGAAGGCCGGCTGAGGCGAAACGGGCCCCCCGCACAAACGGACACCATAGTGCACAATTTGGGAGAGGAAAGCCAGCTTTTCTTCCCCTCCAGCACTTGATTTATTCCATCCATTTTAGATTTTGCAGAAAATCTTTGCTGTGGCTGCCTTCACAAATTAGTTGATTTATCTGCGACATTATTATGGAGATTCTAAGGCTCCCAAGAGCCTCAGCTGAATAAATCTGTGCTCTGTTCTGCAAGCTACCTGCAGTATGCTATCCTCTCCTTCTGGTAGAGGTGTATAATTGAAATCATTGCCTGAAGTGAGCCCTTTGAATTAACATTACAGTCGCCTTACACATGCCACATTATCTGATTCCCATAGCATCTCTACGTTTACAAGCTAAACCAGAGGTCCAGTTTTAAATCGAATACTAAACAAGACAAAATGCTCCAAATGCCTTTTATAACCATATTTGTTAAATGTGCACACTCAACACTTTTTGTGGCTGTCTCCAGATCTGGACGGACTGCAAAGAAACAAACTGAAAGTGTGGATTTGTTAACGGTATGAAACCTTTGCAACCCTGTTTGCACTGCCTGTCTTACAGCTATATCATAGAAGGGCCAGCTCAGCCCTTTAGGCCTTTCAGTTCTTTGGAGACCACTACAGAAATCGAGGGCAGTTCCTGTTTTGAGAAAAAATACAGATGTTTTGAAGGAAGGATCCCAACCTAACCTCACATCTGGAGTGTAGGACAGAACATCGTGAAAATGTAGGACGGGTGCTTCCTGTTGCCCCTTCAGTCTTTTTCTCTTACCTAAACCTTTACATTTTCATCAGCCTGGCACTGCACCTCTGCGAACTGCAAACCGGGTTACACTTGCAGGAGTGTAATTTGAACTCGGCACTAATAAACCATTGTATTCCTCTGGTATGTTTTGTGTGAAATTGCCCGTAGAAAATACTTAACAGACAAATTTGTGGACCAGAGTTTAAAGGTCCAGCCCACACACTCCTGAAAGAGGAATGCATCGGCCAGTATTTTGGGGGCTTACCCGGCACTGAGGATAAGCGTGTAGGTACAGGGCCTGCGGTACGCGTGTGTACTCTGCAGTACTATTAGCAGCATGTATCAATATCTCCCTTCCAATGAAGTTCAGTATCGACCAGATAACTACCCTCAGCAGCACTCTGAAGACAATCAATTTGCATGTCAGCCAGCAGTGCTCCGGTTCTAGGAAATCTGAACAACTCCTGTGATGTTATCAGCAAATTTTATCTTTTTCTACATTCTTCCTTTTGGTGTTTTGTTTAAAGTAACTGCTCCAAAGATTAATCCCAACAGCGATGCGTCTAGGTAGGTGCAGAACACAATAGGCCCATTCACCACATCACTCTTTAATTTCAAGTAATAGGTTTATTCCATGCTGAAAAAAAGAAGAAAGAGAACACAACGTTTCGGCCGTGGAGCCTTCTTCAGGTGTGTCAAAAAAACTCTTTAATTTCTTCAACTGCGGTGCCTAAAAATACCTTCCCTGTTGCGTTTATTTTACGACATGTCAGGTGTATAATTAAGGAGCTGGTCGTAACAAAATTCTTCACTGGAATTGACTGGAAGAGTCATAAACTGGGCGCCTTGGCATATCATAATATTAGTGCATTACAAGAAAACGAGAGCTTCTCTGTCCACTGGAGAGAAAAGTGATTAGTTAAATGGCTCAAAACCGAAAGTGAAATATTTTCTCTCAATCAGACAGCTCTTTTAAAGTGGCTATTTGCGCTACTCACTCATAACAGAATGTGGTATTCTAGCTTCATGCTTACAGCTGTGTCTTTCTCTCTCATCTTTCCTAAATCTAAAACCTAAATCTGATCAGTGTGGGCTTTAAAACTACAAAGAACACTTTTCCCAGAAAAGGGGATATGTCAATTTAATTGAGAATTTGGAAGAATTCTGAAAGACCTAACAAAAGATTTTCTTCAATTCTTTTCTTCTACTTTTGCTTGTTAGTAAAAAAACTCCTAAACATTTGTTTTCTGGATCCAGAGGTACTGTAGGAGCAATTATTACTTCTACTGAAAGTTCAACACAAACAGCACATTTTTGTGCCATGACAGTCTTCCATTTAATAAAATCATGAACCATTTCTTCGAGAATGTGATGCTGGTGAGTTAGTCAGATGGTTTTGGCGCACACTAATTGTCAGAACACATCTAACCATCCAGCAGGAGCATCTGATTTCACAGAAGTACAATACTACCGTGTAAAGCATGGCCGGGTGGGAAAATGCAGCTACCGTGTAATACAGACATTTTCCTACAACACTCATACGAGAAAATGTCACCTAAAAACACAGTAATTTGAAACACATTTCAATTTTTCTACTGAATTTAAATCAAAGTCAGATGATTGTAGGTAAACCAATGAATTGTGGAGAGTGCTCTTGTATGATTTTCTACATCAGTGCATAAACCTTAAGTTCAATTACTGAATTACTAAAACAGCAAAATCAGCAAAACAACAATTATTAAATGGAAAACTGTCATGTCACAAAAATGTGCTGTTTGCGTTGAGCTTCCGGCAGACATATGAATCTACACCTGAAACTTTGCCATATGGCTTGAGAAGTGTGTTTGGGCACATCGTAAGACGAGCTCCGCTCATATACAATGGCCTCCCCGTAAGGTGTGCTTTGAGAAGCAGAGGCGACTGAAAGGACACCTCACTGCTGGTTTACTCTTGTCATTTCCCCCCTTTCCTTTCCTCATCCCGCCGCTATTGAGCCGTAAACAAATTCAGAAACCGTCGGCAAGATCAAGAGATATGGGGGACGGGCAGAACTTCTGCGGAAAATGACCCATTTTGAGTCTGTCCTCAGCGGTGGTACGCGACAGCGGAGCCACAGTGTTCACAGAGCAGCCACCGCCGCAGGGAAAGCACAAAACACCAGGCCAGCACCCCGTCGGCACAGAGCAGAATGTTTTCACCACTCTGCTCTCTCGCAGCGCGCTGTGTGCTTTACACCTCTGCGCACCAACAAGAGGGAAGGGGATTTGAACTTCGTGCTGCCTTGGCACGGTTTTTACCCTCATGCTCTTTACCTCAGGCCCGTTCCCACGTGCTTCCAACAATTCCCTAACTCCCCCTTGTGTGCGTTGTGTGCGAAGTGTGCGCACGGGAGTGCAGTGTGGCAATAAAATAAAAGGAAGACGTTTTTGTGTTGCTTTAGTACGGTTTTCACCCTGATCCTCTCTACCTCAAGCCCTTTTCCACATGTTTCCAACAATTCCCTAACTCCCCTGTGTGTGTGTGTGAAGTGTGCGCGCAGGAGTGCAGTGTGGCAATAAAACCCATTAGCATTTGCACTCTCGTGTTTCCCAATCCTCCGGTGTGTCACCTGTTTCTGATACCACACAATACTCCCTTGTAGAGCCACTGGAACGAACACACATAATCATTAATCTTCAGGGAGCTTGAGGCAGTAGATGAAGGGGGCTTTGCAGGCAGGTGTAATTTCATCATCTTCAGTTATTCATTTAACAGATGGTCTCATTTTTATTATAAATCAGAAAAGAAGCATTTTTGGGAAGCTGTCACTGTAAATGGGTTTTATGTAGCACTCTAACATCCTGCACAACAACAAGAAACCCATGGCTTTGTGAAATATGTTATCTGCTGGCACACTGTGGCTGTGCGTATAAGGCATTAGAATGAAACCAAATGTAAAAAAAAATAAAATGGTTGCGGGTTTTGTCATAACAGTTCTTTGAAAATATAGATGGATACATTACACACACATGCAGAGGAGCACAGATAAGCCAATGCACGGGTGAAAACAGGACGAGTATTAATGTAATACTAGTAAAAAAACAGTGCATCCTTATTGAGTTAAGCTCTACAACATACGACGCTACAGTAGCCCCCCCTGCCTATCCTGCCAATAACTACAGCTTCTCTGCAGGAGGTCTCTCAAAGCCTCTTGAAGAAACGAGACAGCGCAGGGAGACAGGATGCTCCTGCCGAGAGGGGTACCCAAGGGCACCACGGCACTGCGTCTCCAACTGTGCCGCGCAGATCTGAACGCAGCGATTGGAAGGGATTTGAAATTACTGGTGAATGAACGTGCAGCTACCAAGGGAAGCTTAAACACAAAGAGCAGTTCTCTTTCCTGTAATCTGCTTGTGTTACACTAGCGGTGCAGGGCGCAGACGGGGGCTGGCTCCTCTCCGAAGGAAGGAAAACATCAAATCGCACCTTTCAGCTCCGGCAGCTTCCTTCGCTTCAGGCGAACGCCGAGGGGGCTGGCCGGCCCCGCCAGGGCCGACAGCAGCCGGCCTCCTGGAACAAAAGTGGTTCTGCTGCACGAGCAAATAGGCCCCCGCGCGCTTTGTGCTCAGATGCACGCTGGGAAAAACAAAGGCCCATTGTCCAGTTGTGCTGGGTTTTTGTGCAGAATTTCCTTTTTACGCTGCCCCACCCTAAGCAAATTATGAGTCACAAAGCGCCTTCAGGAAAAGATGCGGGGGAATGAGGTACTGTCAGAGCAAAAGGAAAGGGGCCAGATTGTGCACCTCACACACAGCCTGTCGATAAAGACGGGACTTCAGACTTATCTAACCATTATGCTGTCTGTTTTATTTCAGATCAATACATCACTTCAAAGGGAACATTGATCGGAAGTAGATCAAGCCACTTCATACTCCAGTCCTGCATACACACCGAAGCTAAATTTTTCTGTGAGCAACCTCCTTTAAAATGTTCTACTTTTCCGCATCCCATTCCAGCAAGCATGTCATGACTCATTAACATCTGTGGAGCCGCAGTGTCATTCAGTGAAGGCCTCTAGATTTTTCCTGAAGCGAAGGTCTCAGCTTAAGCTTAATTTTAGTCTTCCTTTCAGACTGACGGAACCACCTGAAGGCGACACGTGAAGTTTTCTTTAAGTAGCTATTACTGAATTTCCCAGCCACATGAACTTTGTGTAGGAACAAGCCAACGCACAAAGAGCCTCATCATCTTTTAAATTTGTTTTGCATCCAAAACAACCTCCCGCTATAGCAACGGACGGAGAATGTCCCCAGTTGACCGAAAGCAGAGACAAGAAAAAAAGAAACCTGCTTTTTAAAGGAGGAGTGAACCTCTTCTTGTGGTTTCGAAAACGCAGGCAACACAGAAAAAGCATTTCCTGTTTTGCAAGCCGTGTGAGGGGCACGCTTTGTACAAAACATGTCCTCAAGCAACTCTCTCCTGGTTCTGTAATTGCTGCTGTAGCGAGCTGCGGCACACTGCAAAGACTGCTAACCCAGACGCAGTGACACAGATCACAGCCACCAGGTTGCACAGACTCTCACTTAGGACGCACAAACATCTGTTTTAGCTACGGCCTCTTTTTAAAAATGGCCTCTGGTAACAGATGCACACAGAGGAGCTGTTAATTCTGTAGCTGCTGCTGCTGCTGCACGCTGCTTTTTAAAGCTGTCACAAGCCCAATACAAACAACCTACTGCTGACAGACAGTCACAAGCTGCTGCTCTGCTAAAGCTAGCTGCTGACGGCACTAGTGATCATTTAAGGTAAGACCTTTCTGTCAAAAGTAGAGCTAGAGAGAGGCTGAATTGGCGCTCGCTGAGCTGCCTTCCAGCGCCCTGAAAAAAGAGTGTCCTCTCTTTTACAAAGGAATACAAAGCGTGCCCCTTCCCTGAAGGCCCCCAGCCAGCACCCCCACAGTGTGCGATTTGAGGGGAGACAACCACATTAATCTGAACAAGCGTTTCTTCCTCATCCTGGTCAGTGTTGTATTCCTATAAAAAACATCTCAGTCGGACAGAAATGACAATGTTACAGCGCAAAACATTTGAAGTGCCGTAGTTTGTCATCTGTATCACAAGCAGACTAGTCGATTGATATTTTTTTATTTAAAGCAACCACACCACAGCTGTTTTGTACATCGGTGCAGTGATATTTAACACTTTTTTTTGCCCCTGAACTATCGGAGAATCCCGGCTGAGGCTGCCCTGTACACCACTGACCCAGCGCCACAGAGAAGCTGAAAAAATAATCAGACATTATCTCCCGACAGGAGCCCTTGCCAGCTGACGAATCTCCTGAGTGAAATTGGAAATGCAGCTGTTTCCAGGAGAGCCGCGATTGCCTCTGTATAAATAAGCAGCAGGGGCCACGAGACGATCCGAAACGCGCGTCTGCCGGCCTCAGTGGGACTGCGGGTTATACCTTTCTCTCCCACACAGCTCGGCAAGCTCAACCAGCACAGCGCGCATCTTTCTCCCCACTAGCGTTTCAGTGCTTCAAACCACAACACGCTGGCGTTCGGCGGACGACTTCCCTCAGAATACGTCTCAACCCATTATTAGTTTTATTGCATTCTATACTACTCTGCATATACTGTGACTAAGTGGTTGATGTCACTGACGTCCAAAGAAACATTTATGTGTCCATAAATAAAATGAATAACTGCAGAACTTCAGTGTATCTGTACGGCTGATGCATTTTAAGTGGAACTGAAGGAAAAGGGAAGACACTGGGTAATTATTTTCTTTTTATTAACATGTCCTTGAAAACAATGTTCTTTTTTAACTGTTCCACATAGTAAGATATCAATTTAAGATCCGAACTATGTCATACTGCTGTTTCACACTTAATCCCAAACAATGTCTCCTGAGAGCTCTGAACTGAAGGCATCTGTTCTACTGTTCTCAGGATCACTGTTTAACACACAGAAAAACCTGTTTCTGCCCCAGAAGGGCCTGTATGGCAGTGCACTTAGAAATTACCCTTTTCCCCTCGAAATCTGAGGAAATGACACATCATTAATGCGCACTTTTGTTAGTACCAGAGGATATACAACACACCTGACTCTGCAGATTGATGACTTCAGACTGGCGTTTCAGGTTACCGGACAGACAATAATGACCAAAGTGGTTTAGGGGTTATAAGGTGGAGAACATGATTTATTTTGCTGCTTGTTCCCAATCTTTAGCAGCCAAATTGAGTTTCACTGTTTTTAGGAGAATGCCAAAACCCGTTCTAGTCAGGTGCAAGCTAAGAAAGCTGAGAACAGACGAGCCCAGCACTGGACCTGAGCGAACATGTGGCCAGCTCAAACAGCTTTCACTTTTTTTTTTTAAACCAAACCAAGCTCTTTCCACATCCCCACGCGAAAGCTGAGTGGTGTGCAGGGTAAAAAACAAAACAAAAATCGAGCAGCAGCAAAACAATTTATCACCATTTGGCAGCATAAAGCATTACGATGAACCCTGCCAGCACTTTTTAAATGTGACTTGTATTCCTTTATTCATTTTTAAAGATGTTTTAATTAAAATAATTAATAATCTTCAGGTGTTCACGGCACGGGCACGCGGAGTCGAGCCCGCCCAGCCCTGTGTGAATGGTAGTGGGAGAGCTCAGCACGAGCAGGGGAGAATCTGATGGTGGAATTCCATGTGGTGCTCATTACAAGGAGGGGCCTGGCTGGGAAACGCTCTGGGCCACAATAGGACTAAAAATGTTTTTTTTTTAAAACTGCGTGGGGCTCAGCCAGCACAGTGCCGTCATGAGCCCAAGCATCTCCAGTCCTGTGATTTGCACAGGAGGCTAAGCGCTGACACAGAGCGTTTGATCCTACACCGACGCACAGCTGAGAGATTCTCTGAACAGAAGCAGACTGGCACAGCTTATTGCAAACACAGCCTGAAAAAAGGAAGAAGAAAAGAAAAGGAACCGGGGGCCAGTCTCTGTGTGGCAGCATTTCGATGTTAATGACAGTCCTTTCACCGTGGTGCAAAGAGCATTCAAAACCAACATATGGAATTGTTTTGTTCAGGGCAGAACTCAAAGGGTTTTAATGGTAAACCAGTGAGGCTCACAATAACGCACAGCTGAGAGCCACTGTAAAGCACCCTGCTGAAATCTTGTTTTAGAACAGCTAATACATTCCATTTTACTTAAATGCATTAAAAAGTAAATATACAACTCACAAAATAAACAGAATTTTAAATATTTCTGAAGTTATTGAAGTATTAGTTCTTTATTTGGATGACTTGGCTATTCACATTAAAAGGATACCTAACATGCATTATATTGTAAAAGTGATAAAGAAGTGATTATTGCTAGGAGTTTCGTGGTGAAAACAGAAACAAATTGCTGCTCTGTCCAAGAGCTATTTTTTTTCTGTAAAAATATATCTACCATTAAAGGCATTTAGAGTTACTTACAAATAATAACAGTAAAACCTCAAAGTGTTGTTAACAGATCGTAACACCATTCCTGTTAAAAAACAATGACTTCACAAAGCTGTATGGTCTGTAAGCAGCCATCTATCAAGGGATTCTGCAATACTGTAATAAACAAAGCAATGCAGCAATGCAAATCAAGCACTTAACAAAAATACAGAAAATATCATCGACATGTTAAGAATACATTTTCACTCCATCCATAGTGTGCAATTTGCTGCATTCTGGTTACCCATAACACGGAGTGAAGTGAAAGCATTAAGAGGAACAGTGCTTAAGCAGGGCGTCTGTTTTGTACTGCACAGCCCGAGGTACAGAGACATTGAAGGCTAGCTGTGAATGTGCTAGGATTCCCCAATGACCAGGAACAATCGGTCCAGCAAACAATTTTGCAGCCAGGCATTCTGTTAAAACAGCCTTCTTTCCTTATAAGGTTTGGCTCACAGCCTTCTGGCACCAAACCCAAGACAGTTCCCAAGCCAGGGCCTAAGATTCTATCATCCTGTATGGCTTTTGCTGCAGCACAGGGCCTCTGATAGGCAACACCTTGGCAGCTATCCAGATTAAACAAAGGACATACTGATATTGGCTCTCTGTGCAATAAGATAGCACAAAACCGCCTGGCACCTGAAGGTGAGAGGCGCGATGCAAACTCCACACGCATCTGTACTGTTAACCCCAGGCACACCAATCACCACTTTAACAATCTATTAAATTCTCAACAAGCCTATTGTGCTATTAGGCAGCTCCGTTTGGGTCTGATCAAAATCATCTGAGACAACGCAGCAACTGGCACCCACCTCCAAACTGAATTCTGTGTCAATGAAATCAACGGAAAACACTGCGTCAAATTACTGCCATACCTCAATGCTTAATGTTGCAGCAAATACGTTTTAAACATAATTGCATGTGTAATTGAGGAACCTGGAGGACAGGAAATTATTGAAGTTAACCCAAAAACCCGACCTTTGGAATGTCATACGTTTTTTTTTTAGAAAACTGCAGAGATATTAAGACCTCCAGGCTGTTTGCCTAACAAGGAAAAGTCACCTCTAGACTGCCTTCTTCCTTATTTTTTCAAAAAAGGAAAGAAAATGGAACAGAAGACGTCAACTAGCTGCACAGCCAGATGGGTTTAACACTCCTCTGCTTCTTTTGTGGGTTAATGAAAATCAAGGCAAGATCTAACTGAGGGGTCAAAAGACAGCGGAGCTCCAGTTATCTTCTGAATTACCTGCTCTTTAATGACTCAACAGAGCATGCGAAGGCTGAGTCAGGGCTTCTGCGGCCCCTTGATGACTCTGCATTATCTCTGGCGCTGAACGGAACCCCCCCTCACACCAGTCAAGTAATTATAAAGTAGATCATTAACTTATCAAAAAGCACTTTGACATCACTTCCAGAAAGAGTACCTTTTAATGGAGGACGTGCAGCAAACTCGGCACAAAAAGAATTGAAGAAAGTGTTTTCTTTTCTGGCTAAGGTTACACAAACCTTTTACACACGAGGACAGCAGATGATGTCTCTCATTTATTTTCAGGTAAACCACTTCAGCAATGGCATGAACAGTGATCAGAGAGAAAAGTGGCACATTTTAAGGTAGGACCACCTGTTGTTTTACTTGTCAAATTCTTTCCCTATTATGTAGCTCGAACTTGAATTCTTATAAAGCTCAGACTGCCCCCTTAGCACCATCGCAAGGTTCACACTTATACAAACTATCGGACCTTTTCCCAACACTCACATGTGGTAAACACACCACACCAGAAGAAACACTGCACATTCAAGCACTTTATTTAACCTTTACATTAAAGCTGGATTTTTCAAGTACTCAGAAAATGCTTATGTTTATACCGTGGAAACGTCTCACATTATTGATAAACTGCATTCATTCTTGTAACCCTGCAGCTTCCAGGGCTATTTAACTACTCAACAAAGCATGTAAATAAGAAAAGCAGGTTGACCTTCACCTACTGCAGCAGAGAGCAACTCCATTTCTGAAGGGGCTATAATCCTGCTGTATTTATAGGTATCTATATACGTCCAGCAACTATATCTAGAGCTGGGAAAGGCGTTAAATTGGTCCGGTTAAGATAGAAATTAGTCCAATCAGACAGCTAAGAGCTCAACTGGAAATACAACTACAGACACAGTGGTCTTCCAGGATTGGTGCTGTGCACACTTCACCTATTGCATGTCAATGAAACAGGCCATTTTCACTGCTGGCCAGGCAGGCCATAAAGAGGGGTTTCCACTGCTGGATACATTCTGGGGTTGAGGCAATGTCCTATACTGACAGGTTGAAAGAAGCCCCCTGAACTTTTGAACACAGGAGACTAAGATGGGACCTGATACAGGAATTCAAAAGCCTCAAAGGCACTGATATAGTGAACCCAGTGAAGCAGGTCTCCACATGGTCTTCTCTGTTCAAGATGAAAAAGGTTCATTTCTTTCTCGTCTCTCTGTCATTTCTTTAAGCCAGGAAAGTATCTGGTTGCTCCTGTCTGGACTGATTCCAGAGCTGAAATATCTTTTAAGTGATCACAATTATACACAGTATTCTAAATGTGGTCTTACACGGATATTATGCAATTTTTTAATAACATTCCTTGATTTTACACTATACAGTATTGCCTAATATTTTGCTGGCTTTTTATTTCTTCCCCACATTGTCAACATAAGCACCTACAGTAAGTCTTTTCATAAGTGGCCTCTTCTATCTCAGTTTTTTCCTAGATTATGTTTTTGCTGCCTGCATGCAAAACTATGCAACTGCCTACATTGTACATCATTTGCAAGGTGTTTGCCCAGTTGAATTTTATCCAAATGTATTTTAATTTCATTTGCTGCTTCTCCAGTGTTTGCCAATCCTCCTAATGTGGTATGATCTGCAAACTTGACTTGTTTACTTACTATACTAGAATCTAAATCACTGACAGAAATCAGCTGACAGAAGATCAGCTGTGGTCCTCGTACAGATCCCAGTGGTACTCCACAAATAACATCACAACATAATTAATGCTTTATGCAAAGCCAGAGCTAGTTTTAACTGATCCATTGTTATGCAAATATATTAATGCTCTTGCATTTTTATGTAGTAAGAGTTTCACAAAGTATAAGGTATTTTGGTGAAACATTACCACAAAAAACAAATTTATTTCATTGTAAATAGTCCATTATCATCCTCTGGTCACTTAAGCTGGTGCTTTTATTTAATCCGCAAGTAAAATTCAAGTTGATGAAAAACACAAAACACTTAACTGTGTAATTAAGGATGACCAATTTGATTCTGTAAAGTCACTGGGATTGGCAAACACAGGATGAGATTTTAGAGATTGTTATTTTTTGTGCTGACTAAATTACTATTCCTATCTATATCCTATTAAATAAATTGTTCATAAAATACTTTGAAATAACTCTCTTGATCAAATCCGTAACACAGATTAAGTGTCCATGCGGCAAGAACTGTGAACAATTTATCAGCATTAAAAGTTTTCTGCATACTGTAATTATACTCCATAGCAATGCTTAATTTATACATACATTTCCCTCCCACAATTTTAAGAACAATATTAAAATTGAGTCATGTCTTAGAATCCTCTGGTAACAATCTAGTCACTTATGAAACATGAAATAAAAATAGCAGTAAGTAAGCACTGATTGCCAGGATCTTTCCTGTACAATACTATGTCCTCTGCATCATGTAAACACAGGGCAAGAACATCTGACTTCGGCTGTGTTCAAGAAAAGCTCAGGAACACATTTCATTATTGGCTTGGCAAGGTCTGGTCAAGCCAGATAGCCCTGTGCCAGCACTAGGAATGAGGATAGAGAGCAGTGTATAACCCCTGAGCTAACCAGCCTCCCACATCCAAATAAAAACGAAAGAAGGCAGATGAAAATATCGAAAGGAAACATTCAGATACATAAAAAGGAAATTCAGACAATAAATAGAAAATAGAATAGACGTGTCTTCAGGAAGAGAACTCTCAGACTTGACAACTGACAAATTAACAAATTATATTGTTTTAGGAGAGAATGACACATTTTCGACAGCATCTTTGTTTGATGCTTGATTGATTATTAGGCAAAAATTAAATGCAACATTGAAACTTCTTGCGCTTCCACAAACATCTTGCACACGTGACCAATGATGGTGAAGACTTCCTTGGACATATCCTGACAAGCACCGCAATGGAACCATGAGTTCAATTCAGACTGACAGCCTTAAGCAAGGCCGCACCCTAACAAACTAACAAACTCAGAATCACACGCTGCCAAAAACACTGAGCCGCTGCAGCCCGTCCTCAGGGCTGTAAACACTTACACTTCAAGCTTTTCCGTTCTCATCTCCCTCACTAAGTTTAGGTAGAGGTTCAGCGTGATGAGGCAAACCCAGGCCAGGGCGCACCAGTCTGTGAAGAAAACAAAGAAAAACATTACAAGGTAGAAACAGAAGAAGGGCTGACTACTGAAGCTGACACTGTCTGTTGGGCAGGCGCAACTGAAAAGCACAGTCAGTTGCTGTATTTCACTGAGGGTTCGTGATGTCAGACCAGCACGGAGCATGTCCTTCATAGTGTGGAATACACACCTGTATGTGAACTCACAAAAGTAGTTGCCAAAGAGGCCCAAGAAGTTTATAAACCAGAAAGGACCATCTGAGGCACTGTGATTATTTGGTGACAGGTAGCGTAACAACCTGTGGATCTCATCCAGACTTTTCCTGATGGTCCCAGAGAATCAGGTTTGGCATCTCGTTCCAAACACCCACCCACCATTCTCAGTTCCAAGTACTTTCCTTGTAGCTTCGAAGTGAGTTCTCATGTTCTTTTTTCATTGCCAAGTTTAAGTAAATCCGCTGAGTTAACCCTGAATATACCTTTAAAGATTTTGAATACTTCTATTAAGTCCCCAAATAGGGCTGACGAGGATCAGCTCCTCTCAGCTTTTAGACCCAAAATGTTTATTGTTTAAAACAGTGAAGCCTATTTAGCATTGTAGTACAGCAGCCAACATTGTTAACATAACTTGAAATTCTACACTTTCCATTTTTCAGCCTTGGATTCTGTTACTTTTGTAATCATTTTCTCACAATGCCTGGACAAATAATAAGTCAAGAGTTTACTTTGTAATATAGCACCTTTGGCATCTTTCTTGTTTTTCTGAAGTAGTTTTCTAAACATCTTAGAATCAAGATCATTGATGTCGCTAAGGAACAACAGCAGGCCTAAAACAGAACCCTGTGGCACTCCAATAACTCCAACGCTCCATTTTCAATACTTTAACCACTTTTCAGTCTTCTTCATCCTGTACATTGTATCCTTCACCTTTTAGCTTTATAAGCAGCCTTGCATGCAGATCATTATTAAAGGTCGTCTGCACATCTAAATACAATTTACCATCTAATAAACTCAAGTAGGTAGCTGCGTCAACATGCTTAGGCTGCAAAGGAACAAGTAAAGGCTTATTCCATGCTGAAAAGAGAAAAAAAGAAACACAACGTTTCAACAGCGTTGTGTTTCTTTTCTTCTCTTTTCAGCATCTAATAACCTCTGCTTGTATCCAGGACAGGCAGAGCCTAGGATAAAGGAGGAAGTCGTGAGCATATTTGTGATTTATGACATGATATACTGTAGTAGCTGGCATAGCAATACAAGAGATGATTTTTTTTGCGGGGATGCGTGGGGGGGGGGATTCAACTTTAAAAATGGACAATTTCAAGTGTGTCATTAAAATGATATGTTGAAATACAATTAACAGCTCGATTGCAGGTACATTCCGGTCCAGCTCCATTTACAAACTAGAAACACTCGCTGCTCGGCTTTCTTATTATTTCTCCCAATGTACGACATCCAGTCGCAGCCACTGTGCTATGTGCATGGAAGACGTGATGTTGTTTCTCTAAAGAGGAGCCGCGTGTGAATGAAAGCGAGTGTGTGTGTGTGTGGTGCTTCCCCTCTGCAGCTGAATGCAGACTCCGTGTGACGGTGGTGTTCCGCTTCTTAACCACACAAATGCTGTGTTTACTGTTCAACCCAACATGCCAGCCTGACCTTCCACATGTCACAGTTCATTACGGAGAAACAAGCGCAAAGGCAGTTAGTAGCCAGCTCAGGGATTGCTAGGGAAAGATGTCCTTGTCTTTTAATCAAATAAACCCCCCCTCAGTCTGAAGTCTTCCTTTTTCATTAGACAATATTGAATTTATCTTGTTTTATCATGCTGGAAAATTCAACACCAGCTTGTTGTCTATGGTCTATTTTCAACTAAATGCATTTGTGCAACCGAAACAAAACATTGGCCAGAGTATATCCGCACAATGTTTGGTCTACTGTTTGTATTTTCACACATTTAAAATGCCCTTTTTAGAAGAGGTGCTAAAATATAAATGTAGAAAAGCGGTGTCTCTTAAAACACGCAAAGACTACAAATGACAAGCCAGCTATCCCAAATTAAAGGTCTTAATTTAGCTACAAATTCCCTGCTGGGATACAAAATCTCAGAAATGTTTACTGAACGTATTCCAAACAGGCAGTGGGAGACCAGAAGTGTCTAGAGGCACTATTGGCCTATACAGCACAGACTGAGAGGGTTTATTTGTGAAATTAAATATTTGTATAAGAAGGGGATTTTTACACAATCATTTCCATGTGCTTGTTCTACTGTTAAAGGCCCGAATGCAGCACCACATCTGTAGCCGATGTGAAGAGAGGCAATGCATCAGCTGCATGTTGTTTTCTTGCTGCAGGTCACACACTGAAATCTCCTGTGCTGGCTCACTGAATAATTTAGTTGATGGCTGGTAGGTTTCAAGGATAACAATCACGCAATCGCTCAATCAAGTGAGGTTAGTGGAGGTAGCAGTCTCATAACATGCTGAGCCTTTTTCTTAACTTCCTTCAAAACCCCTACTCGGAACAGATCAGGAGTGAGCCCCCACTAATCTGCAGAGCGGTTTTCAGGGGATTCCTTGCAGTGTCACTGGCTGAACTACGGCTAAAGTCTTTGCCTGCCCTAAAAACAGCTGTGATCTTGTCCACTGAACTTCAAATCCCCTAGCAGTATGACTACAGCGTATGTCTTATTTGATAAGAACCCAGAAAGTGCTCTAGGGCTGGTTCCCTCTTAAGGGTCTAGCAGGCACTCGTTATACTAATTACTCACCAGCTGGGAAAGGAATTTGTCTGGACTTCAGGATGTGCGGCACACTAACTCCTTACAGAGTCAGCTAGGCTGGGAGAGTGTCCTAGTGGACAAGGCAATCACAGTAATCACACTGACAAGGAAATCCATTACAATTTTTTTAATACATGAACCCTTCCACAAATTAATTAATTTGAATAGTTACTACTAATAATTTCTGGCATTTGTTTATTGTTGTGCCTCCTAATGGGCCTCACATACAGAGGATGACCTAATTCACTCACCACACACTGCAAGCGCACAGCCCAATGGCGCACAGCAGGTCACTACACAGTCAGAGGAAGTGAGAAATTGCTTCACAAACTGAATTAAGGTAGAAATTGAGACAGGCCAGACTGTACAAAACCAAGGCACCAGGGTTAACACATCCCTTGTAAACAGTACTATGGGATCTGTACTGACCAGGTAACCAGGACCTCATTTTAAAGTCTCATCTGAGGAAGGTCTCCTCCCTACAACACAGCATCCCCGGTCACCAGGGGCCAGAACATGTCTAAGGTAAAAATGTGGGGGTCTGATATTGAGATTTCAAGAAACATTTATATTACAGTGTAGTGTGTGACTTATCTATACTCCGATGTGAACAGACTAGATCTAGCCTCTACTTAAATCAAGAATCAACAGTCACTATGGTTACTGCAGAACCTGGATGACACTTAACCTGAGGCTTTGTTATCCAATCAGACAAAGCGTTTGGTCTATTCACTGCCGCACATGAATTTCCCTCTAATTCCACTAGAGAAAAACACACACCTAACACAGCACTGAATTTGGAAAAAGAAAAGGGGATAATTTATGCTGATAAGAGCATCGGATACTTTAATGGAGTGTGATAGATGTGACCAAGTCAGCTGTGTCATGTCACCATTCTAGGAAGTGATGCACAACAATATTTAAGAATTCAAGTGTGTTGAGTGCGGAGAAGGACAAGTTCATTGAGCAGGCCAAAGAAAACAGTAAAAATCAGTAACTGCCCTTCTGAAACCAGAATGTCAGGGATGCGCAGGATGATCTTTGCCTTGCTATAGTTCAGCAAAACCCAAACAACCACTTACAGAAAGCATCTTCAAAGAAACTGCTAAAAAATTGACCCAAATTCCGAAAAACATGTCCCTGCGGTGCCAGCACTGTGGCAAGAAACATCCATAATGTAAGTGACTCCCTTTTCAGTGAAACTGTTAAAGGTACACTAAAATGTCCCTTTGTTAACAAAGTGTGATGAGAGTATAATGGTTGGAGTCAGCTTATTGATATAATGGATGGTGAATAAAGTTGTGAAGCTTAATTGAAATAGCTGAGCACCGTAATGCTGGAAATCTGAATGCAGACCTCGTTGGATGTTTGGAAAATGAAAAACAGAAGAACCCTGTAGAGAAAACTGTGGGATCTGCATCGGACAGGACATCTGTAATGCTAGCTGAACGTGAAAGCATTTCAAATTGCCTGAAAGATCACGCTGGTGATTTATTCATCCACCACTGTATGACCCACCGACAAGATATAATGGATAAAGACATCGCATCAGTCACACATGACTTTGTGGAAGATATGATCAAAGTGACACTTACACACTGCAGTGGGGCAGGGAGAAAAAAACGAGTTCAGACAGATCTTGAACTGAATGAGGAGGAATATTTAAATCTCCTTACCTCCAACAAAATCTGCTTGTCATAAGAATAGTTTCAGAGAAGATATGCTCATTCAGCCAGTCTAGTCTGTTTGGTAATTAGTAGCTCATTGAGAAGCCCATCCAACTGTTTCTTGAAACAAGCCAGGATACTGCTCCATACTCTCATAACAGTGCCTCCTGTTTTCAGTTTAAATTGCATGAAATTGTTAAATTTCTATTCCATGAAATGAATAGAAAAATGGAAATATAAATGTAAGGTCACTTAGCAGGGTGCTGGACCAACACATGTGGCTAGTCCAGCCTGTATACACCCTGTCATAGAGTCTACAAGCATCTGAAATTCTGCAGGAGGGATATGGTACATCACAACACATGCCTGTTTGATATAGATGGATATTGCCATCTTAGGCTTTGTTCCAGAACATCCCATAAATGTCCGAATTGGTTCAAGTCTGGTGACTGTGAAAGCCATGACATATGAATAACATCAGTGTCAGGCTCATTAGACCATCGGATGACCACGTGCTCTGTGTGGGGGGGGCAGAGGGGAGGTTGTCATTCTGGAAGACCATCACTCAG